AAACTAAAAATACAAGCTAAACCGGACCGTTTTTTTACGTTTAAAAGCGGACCGTTTTTTTTACGTTTAAAACTGATCGTTGAGCGCGTGCCCGCGGGCGTGCCTGCGCCTGGGTGTCAGGGACAATTGCCCGGTTTGCATTACTCGCAGGGGTATAATTAGAGGCCGTTGGGGGTATTTTTATCTTTCATTTTATTTTTAATTATTTTTTTTACGGGAAACCAACCTTCGCAGGGCCTTCTCCTCCGGGCTCAGGTGCGTGAGCCTCTGCCTTTTTCGGACCGGCGGCCCCACAGACGTGTTGGAGTCCGAGTCCGACGACACCTGGCTGGCTGCCGACGGTAAAACGACGGAGATGGGCCTGGAGGCGGTCTGTTTCCCCGATATCAGGAGCACCTTGTGGGCTCCGCCGGTCGCTGCTGTCACCACCACCATGTTGGAATATCCTGTTTGTTTGTGCTGCTCGAGATCAGAAAGCTGCGGGTTATCCGCGATAAATTCAGAGGAAACCTTTGGGGCTTCCCTGTTAACCCGGTCCCCGACTCCTCTCAACTGCTTTAAAAGTGGGCTGTAACGGCGATCTTTTCTACCGTCGTGGAGACGTTTCATTGGCTCTCGGAGGCTCTGACGCAATTGGTGCGTGAATTGTGATTGGCCGTGGTGCTGACGTAATATTGCTTGGGACGCATTACTTGTGATTACTTAGAAAATCACCCCGAGTTCCCCTGTTTGTCTCCTCTTTTCTTTTTTCGTCGTGAAGTTGCATCAGATAGTACGTAGATCAGTTTAAAAGTCTTTTGAAGATGGGCAGTAATTTAGGAGTTTGTTTGCCCTCTGTGTGGGATATTTCTTGCAGATTTCTGAAGTCAAATATATCCTCAGAATGAAAAAATAAAGACTATACTTTGACTAATTTCCTTATTTCCAGCATCCTCTCACTGTTACCTTACAGTTGCTTGTGTGTTTTGCCTTACCTGCTTTACTAGTATAGTTTCCTCATTCTTTTCATTTCTGAAGTGTACTTACTAAACAATTAGAACTGACTTTACCACTCCCCTGATCTTTCCCTTAAATGTTAATTTCCTTCTTCCTGAATAGCACTGCAAACAAAACATGCCGTAAATGACATTTTCACCTTTTACCAAAGCACATGGCAACATTTTCTGATGAGCATGTGATCATTTTTAAAGTTGGAAGATAACTAATTCTAATCCAATGAATATATAGTTCCATTTCAGATGTTTTTGTTAGAAGGCATGTGATGGTTTGTAATTAAACTGAGCATTTAAAATGTATCTTTGCAACGCAACAAAACAATCGGATGTAGACACAGATTAACAAATACTAACCCAAAGGCGCTGCGTTTTTATAAACACAAGAGAAGTCTATGTCAATTTCAATTGTAGAACACACAAGAATACAAACTGATAAGACAAAGCAGTTTACAACCTTTACAACAGGCTGTTTGCATAGCAAACATTTATTCATCGTTATGAATATGGTTTCCCGTCCTCGAGGGAAAGTTCTTGAACCAGAGACTGTGAGAAAAAATGTGTCGGCGCGACCTGAAAGATCGGCTGTTTTTCTGAAGCTCCTGTTTGCTCTCACACAGGAATTCACACTTTTACAGCGTGTGGTTATAGCTGGAAGGCCTTTGCCCCTAAAGTTCGTCACATCAGCTGCAGGAATTGCAGACGCTGGCCTGTTTGCTAAGTTTTTACTGGCACTGCAGAGCCCAAGTCCCTAAAAGTGAGAGCCCTGGTCAAATACTAAGGCAGAGACTATAGGACTCAAACACAGAATATTTGACAACGGGAAATGAGCGTGCAGAAAACTTCCTATTTCCCAGTTTGTTTTGTGTTGAGGAAGTGATTGAATAAAGTCAGCTAGCGTCAGCCTCTCTGGCATAGACGAGGAGTTATTTCTGCCGGGGAAAGTTTAGAGGGGGGTGTCCCGTCATGAATAAGCCCCACAGCTACTACATTTACATCAATGTCACGTTTTCCTAAACCGAGAGCGAAACCGAGGAGCCGATCTTTAAAGATTCAGAACGTTTCTTCTTGGGGTTTGTTTTTTTTCTCCTGTGTCATGGGCCATGGGTCATGTGAACAATATACAGAAGTTCACATGACAGTTAAATTAGCATATTATATTTAAAGTGTCCCTCTGTGTTTTTTAAATCTCCACATTTCCCAACACTTCACAGCAGAATCCCCTCCTTTACATCATTGTTTTAGCCTATAGGAAGGCTATCTGTAAGGACTTAATGAAAATCCTCTTAGTATATTATTTGCTTACATGGGTGTAACACTGTAAGCACAAAGGATTACTGCCCACTAAATACTCAGTGTGTGCCATGAGCTAAAAACACTCTCGAAACGTAGAGGTCTTTGCCATCTTAAGGGTTTCAAAATGTGAAATGCTGGTGGAGAACTTCAATTTAATGTGGAGTGGAAAGGCTGCACCTCCGAGAGCCCCTGACCTTTTTAAAACTCCGTATTCAATAAACAAAACCCTTCAAAATGAACAAATGACTGCGCATGGTAACACAGTGGAGTTAACTCAAGTTTTTTTTCTGCTTTATGGTCGTGAAGGGACCTTTCGACTGTGGCTATTGTAACTCAAAAGCTGAAAATTGGGGGGAAAGGAATAATTAAACCATTCATCAAACAGAAAATACGTTTTTCATATTCAACCCTGTATCCTAGACATAGTTGTAAACATTCTGAGGGCCATAAAGCTTTAATTATGATTTATAAGCCTGATGAAAACACAAAAGGTTCTATCTATCTATCTATCTATCTATCTATCTATCTATCTATCTATCTATCTATCTATCTATCTATCTATCTATCTATCTATCTATCTA